GACGACGCTCCGTAAAAATAGGCGCTGCCCACAAAGCAGCCGGGGACGCCGCCGACGGTGACGGTCGCCGAGAAACAAACCTCTCCTAGGCGACGTTAGCGGCTGTAGTAGTACAACCTGGCGCGACTGCAGCGGCGGCGGCGGTGGCGGCGAGGTGCGCGTCAAGCAAGAAATACCCAGTGTGCGTTTTTCCCACGGTTCCCGGCGGCGCTGGCGAGTGCAAGAGAGGTGTGAGGAGAGTGCCTTCGCGTCGGGTAGAATCGAATGTGGACAGGCAACACATGGCGAACTACGTATGCTTCTTTTCGCCGTTTAAGCGCTGTCCTGTCTGCGACATTTCGAGGGCTAATGTGCGTTTGTGCATATGTGAGGTTGTGGTGGTGACGGACGCGAGTGGCAGTGGTTAGCATGTCCTTTGCATATCGGCAAGACCACTCAATGACAACAGCGAGGCTAGGTAGTTACGACCTGTGACGTCGCAGCCGTGCACGTAGCGTGAGCTGGCCGACAGGGCCTCGCCGTTCTAAACGAGGTAATGTAAACTAATTTCCACACGTACTTTTAACCCTGTCAATACCCCCGCCTAAAAATACGACTGCGTTTTGGCACGCCTCTCGAATCACGACCGAATGTTTATTAAGAAGCGTTCACTAGCTCAGCCGTGGCCGCGAGTATTGCGTATGTAAGTTTCGCTTGAGGCAGGTCAGTGAGGATTGTGGCGCCTGCCAAGCTGTACTACGCGCGGCGAAAACATGTTGCACTCGCCACCTCTTAATATCTTACAAGGCCAGCGCGAGCAGGGTTTTCAGTGCGACATACCTAACAACACAGTCTTGTGTCAATTACGGATTTATTAGAGAAACTGCAGTGAATGGGAAGCCGCCGCAAGCGTACGTGCATGCGCGCCAGCGCCGTCCGTTAACGAGCCCCAGCACGCAGCCGGGACGAGAGCGCGTACGGCCAGCCCAACAAATGATTGTTATTTCTCAAGCTGCCGCGCGCAAGTAGGCGTTGACAGCGCGCATGACTTTCATAAAGAGCACGCGGCCATCGCACCACGGCGAAGTCCCCGCGCGCGTCGCAGCGTGGCTTCGTAGTTGCTCGCTATCTACGAACGCCGCGTTGTGTGAGTACGCGTGAGTCGCTAGCACTGTTAAACACACAAAGAAACGCACGCGCCCGTGCTGGCGGAACTTACCCGAGTCAGCGATTGAAATCAGGATGCACGCGGTGTGTCCGCACGGCGATAAGTGAGCGGGACGTGCAGTGCCACGATTAGCGCGTTCCGGTCGCTTAAAATTTCTTGATCACTCGTTGGCCCACAGACGAAAGCACGCCTCGCCACCCGCGCATTCACGACGCAGCCTTATTGGCGCACAAAAGCAGAAAAGTGCGCTAGGGACTTTACACTCTTTTTCAAACGCCTTTCAAACATACAATGACCTTGTATATGTTCCTTAACCCTGCAGAATGTGAAGCAGTGAGTGAGAGTGGTTAGAAGGGTGAGGGAAGGGGAAGGGGTGGTGGGGAAGGAGGGGAGAGGCCGTTGCGTACGTCACGTGACAAACGTCTTGTTTTTTTCATCACCAACTTTCGTGTTCTTTTTCTTTTATTCCTCTTTCTTTCTCGGTCGCTGCGAGTCCTTTGAATTAACAAGATAGCTTGGGACTGCCTCAACGTTGCGATAGGTCGAGGCGGCAGTACGAGAGTGTGTCAGTTTTTTAAGTAGGCAAGTTAAGTTTGTTCGTATGTGATTCAGGCCGGGGTCGGTAACCTCGCGCGCGCGATTCTCAGAATAAACAACACCAGGCGTAGCAGTTACAAAACTGCGAAGCGAGTTGCTCGCCATACTTTTGAATACAATGCTAATGGAAATTGGTTTACTCTTCTAGAACAACAAAGCAGTCTGGCACAATAATGAGATGGACATTCGGTAACAAAGGTATAATATAATATAATAAAAACAAATTTCATAATGAAATGCAAATATAATTACGTAACCGGCAAGATGCATTATGTGGATTTTTAGTTTTCGTTTTTATTATCGTTACACTAATAGAGGAATTGCAAAAATTAAGTTCATTTTCTTATGACAATTTGTGTACCCTCTTTGTGCTCGATTATACGTTTTCTTATGGTAAATTAAACAAAGGGCAGAAATGAACGAAACAGTTACATGTCATCTAGTTTAACACACTCAATTGAAGTTATTACAGAAGCTGTCAAAAAAGATATCGGTAAAAGTCTTTTGTTTTCGGATTCTCACCATTTTGATACGTTTTTAAACTCTTTTAAAACAAAAGTGGAAAAACGAACTGTGAGTTCCAGCTAACATTTCTTGCAGAAAAGAATAACACATTAAAGTGAGTAATGAGTTGTGAAATGCGGATTATTTTATCCAGAAAATAGAAAAAAAATAATTAATGTTTCTGCCATCATTGTATTATTTTACAAAATCTCTCGTCAGAAAAATCATAGAATACATCTTCCTACGCTGTAGAAAATATAGATTATTTATTTAAAAAAAGAATAGTTAGAAAAAATACGATTTTCAGAAAAACAGGAAATTTGTAAGCTTACAGCAGTCGCAAGCAGCAGTCGGCTGTAGAAATTCCCCACAGCAAATTGCGCGAGGTCTTGTAAAATTAGTAGTCGATATATCAGAGTCCACTTGAGTGCGAGCGGTGCGAAATATGAAGAATTACGTGCGATGGAGTTTGAATTACAACGCGCCAGCTCGGCACATCTGCTTGCTCCGCGCAGCGCGGGCCAGGAAAACGCGGATTCCACGCACCCAACGGCGTCCCTACGCACGACGACTCTGGGATCGTTGCGATCGTTAAGGCAGAAACCGGGCCTCTCGACGCTGCCTCTCAGAAGTTCCGCGTCGTAACGCTCGCGGAAAGGTTACGGGCGCGCCAACGCCGCGGGAGCAAACAATAGATGACTTGACTATTTACGTTGATGCCGTATCATGCGTTTCGGCGCGGTGAGTCTCGGTACGGCACGCCGCAATTTTCTGCAATTGCTACTTGCGGTGCGGGCGGCGCCTGGTAATGGTACCGTAGGAGAAGGCTTGCGCGTTAGGCCCCGGGCTGGGCGCGGGCAGGGCCCCGACGCGACGCGACGCGCCGCGTCCCCGACCCACCGCAACGCCGCCCCGCTGCCCCCCTCCGCTCTCCCCGACGCCTCGGAATGCAAACCTGCGACTTTGCTATCGGGCCCGCGTCGTGCCGATGCAGTTGCCGGGAGGCCGTTGACCGATAAATCCAGGTGTTCACATCCATTCGCGCCACCCCGCGTCGCGCTGCCTTCTCCCTGTGCTTCGGAGTTCTCCACCCGCCCTTTTCACGTGCCCTCTGCCACTCCGAGTGTCTGGCCCTTATCGCTCTCACCCTCCTGCTCCTCTATCTTTCTACTTCCTCCAAACCGTCGCTTTTTCAACCTTCTTTATTCGTACCTTCAACTATCGCCATCACCGCCGTTTTACAAGCAGTCGACCCAAACCTCCTCTCCGCTTCTACGTCTACCTCCACCTCGCGACCGGGGCGACTGGGGCCCCGCCCTCGCCTTCTCCTCCTCGTCTCCTCCGCATCTCTTCCCCCCACCATCGCCCCCGCCATGCCCCCGCCACCGCGATCCACGCCTCCGTCTCCGCCGCCGCCGCCGCCGCCGCCGCCGTCTCCGCAAGAACCCGTCAGAGAGGGGCCGCGTCGGGGGAGTTTTTAAGGTTGTCATGAACGCCACATGTGGCTTGTACTGTCGGCGACTCATAGGGGCGCCTGTGGTCTCCCAGACGTGGGGTACTTCTTTCTGCCTGGCGGTAAAAATGAACGTCCGGGGAAGTGCGTCGCGTTTCCGGTGGCGTTGGCGACAAGGGCGGAGGCCGCGAAGCGAAGAAACGCACAGCCAAACGCGCACCGCAACTGTGACGAGCTGCTACTTTTTCAAGAGCCTGCTCGTGGGAGGAGAGACATTACAATTCTTCATCCAATGCCAAAACAACCGAATCATCTTCGAAGTGATCTTTTGGTCTATTATTTTAATTATTAAATGAAAAATGATCGGCTAAGGAAACAATACAATTAGTGAAAAATATTTTTTAATAAAAGGTGTCATTAACTATATTGCAGACACATGCTCGTATGCACGAGGCCAATTTACATTAGACTAAACACTTAATTTTCTCTCCAAGTAAACTGACTGAAGTTGCAAACAGTAGTCTCTACCTGGTGATGATAACCTTTCAGTAATGATAGTTATTCTTTCCTTATCTTAAGTACCTCATTGAAAACCAAATTTTTCATGGCTTATAGTATCACTACAACGACAGCAGCACATGAAAGTACTACCCAACTTACGCTTCTCGAAACATCGTTAGTGTTCCCCTAATGTAGTTATTCCCAAGCTCCTCATTTTCAACAACTACTTACACACTTCCTCTAAACAGTTACCCACAACCTGAGACGCTAACCGTCACGGCCGCTATCTGCTTCGAAACGGTGTCGTTAGTGGCGCTTACGCCAGCTGGCTGCATAGCGTCAAAGGAGTATCACGCCACGGAGATCACCGCGTGCATAAGGTACACAACACGACACCTACTCACTTGGTTGCGTCCGCCTGGCGGCATCACTGCAGCACGATACCGTTTACGATACGTTTGTTCGCATTGCCTTCACTCTTCGTGACAACAATTTGTTTAATAACCTGCACCAGTTCCGCTTGCGTGTGCCCCCCACCCCACCCGTTCGCTCCTCCCAGAGACACAAACACACCTGTGTAGACGGAGGAGCATAGAAGTTGCAAGTGTTCCCGATTGTGTTTTTAAAAGGCCTTTCGACATCCACAGCGGCAGCAGAGAAGCGCGCCTCCGCTTTAGAGCTTTTCTTTTGAACCGCGCAAAATCATCTTCGAGAAAGGAGAAGAGAAAATGGGTCGAGGAAGGCTGATTATCCTTAAGGTCGATGCCAAATTGATAGTTAATTGTTTTCTTCTAGGCGCAGACCCGCGGCTTCTGACAGTTTCGAAATACTTAGGAAATGTCGTGGGCCTGTGCCTCTAATAGCACCGGTTGCAACTTAGAACTCAAGTGAGACGAGAGAGAAAGAGAGTGAGAGTGAGAGGGAGAGGGCAAGAGTGAGGGTGAGGAAGATTGAAATGCGGAGAACCAAGGCACCGAAGTCTCGAAACAGGACGAGAAAGCTTTGTTTGGGGCTAGGGGCTCTTAGGAATAGGACTGGGGAACGAGCCTCCTCTTTATTTTGTTAGATTTAATTTTTCAATTTTTTATGGCAAATAATGTACTTTGTATACATTAATAAGAACATTCTATAAAAGTAGTTGATGATATTGCCATCTGTCTTCCATAGTGCTAAATTCATTTCTAAACAAAGAAAACTTAATTTAGGCACAAGTTACTTAAAACTCCTTAAAAATATCTACAAATTATATTTTAAAATTGTATTTTTATCTACCTGAGTCTTTACCTTTGGCCCTTTGTAATAAAAGACGTGTTTATATAACCATACATTATGCATGGAATTTTTCGGTGGAAATAGGAATATTTCAACGCAAGGCGTTCCGCGACCCAACAGGCTAAATGCAACGAAGAAGCATTCAGGCCCATGTCATGATTTGAAGCACTCAGTCTTCGGACACAGACAATACCTCTGTCACTCACGATGGCAAAATATTAATAATTCTGCAAAGAGCAAGTGATACGCATTATACTTTTCCATACGTTACATACAGTTTTTTTCGTTTTATACCGATAAATGTTTAATAAAATTTTAAATTTCAAACTTGTTTTCATATGTTGGGTGAACAAAGTTTTACAATGTGAAATTGAAGCTCTGTCAGTACAATGAATACATTTCATACTTTGACCTACTCATTTATCCCATAGTTCATTACAGTAAATCATTCTTTCATTACAAAGACAAAGGACGGTAAGTATTAAAAAAAACTTAATGTAATTCGTATGTATCTATGAAGTCACCGTGACCCAATGACCAAATATAAATGAAGTGACACAACGTTTCTGTCTGCTCTTTGGTGTAGTTTGCTTAAACAACATGGTGCAACGTGATCGGAACGAAGGGGCAAAAGGAAAGCAGGAGGAAGAAGAGGTGAAGGAGGAGACAGGGCGAGACACATCCGCTGACCCGGTAAGTATGCAACCAAGAGGTCATGGACTAGTTGCAGTTTGTTTAGCATGCAAGCGAGTGCTCGAAGCGATAACATCGATAGCTTCAGGGAGTACTAGCTTTTCTACAAACATGAAGGTCGCGCTCGGAAATGCAACGAAACTGGCAAAACGGAAGTTCGCGAGACATTGTATGCAACTGGAGCGCTCTGTGGGAAATGCAATTGATTAACATGAATTCAAGGTGACATAAA